GTTGGGGAACCGCGGCAGGTGAAGCTCTTCCCACAGCGCCTGCCAGAAACATTAAGGGCCCCAAAATGGGGCTTTAACGTACATTAGAATCCAAGTTTCCAGTAAGATACCAAGAACACAGATGATGTGAAATTACAGATCAGATTGGGACAGGAAGGATTTACAAGGAAATAGTTAAAAACTGTATCCATGACACTTGAAATTTCTCAGTCACCATGACCCTCTAAAAAGACCGAGGAGCAATGGGACAGAAATTCTTCCCAGAGAGACCAGGAGAATAAGAAGTTTAAACGTTGCCTGAGGAACTGCCTCTGACTTGAAGAACAGTCGTCCCAGAGCCAGGAGACTGCTCACCCGAGCTGGCGCCCAGAAACCCAGCCACGGAATTCAGTCCGTCTTCAGGGCCTGTTGTCTCAAGATGCCGTGGTGGCTCCTCCTCTAAACAATTCTCCTTTTGGAGGTTTCTTAACTAACAATTTCAGATAAAAGAATAACTTCAATGAAAAGTCACCAAACGGCTTGAACATTTGCAGAGAGTGGTTTCCATGCCCCTCCCCCACGGGAGTCCTTTGTGCCCTTCCGGCCCCCTCAGCCCCTGCAGGGGCACCGGCACCCACAGGGCACGGGCAGCAGTGGGCTCCGACTCCACACCAGGGTGGGAGCTAAGGCCTCTCTCTGCCCTCTGCCCCAGGCGTCTTCCCTCCCGTGGTTGTGGGTGCAGGTTTTACAGTCACAAGTCAGACCTGCGCTGCCAGCAGGTCTCAGAGATTATTCCATCGGGAGGTTTAAGAATGAGAATGGGGAGGCAGACAAGCGGGAAAAGCACTTTCCCTTAAGCAATGAGCTGGACTTGGAGGACTTTTACAGAAGTCAATTTTCATTCACGCACCAAACTCCACAAAGGTGAGTTTCGGGGTCTGCGGGTCCTTTGGTTTATAGAGACCCCCCACTTTACACCTGTGTGTGTGTGTGTGTGTGTGTGTGGCCACAGGGTAAGTGGGCACTCAGAAAGTCCCCTGCAGACACATAAACACGTGCCAGAAGTAAAACAGAACTGCAGCCTGTCCCGACCTTTTGTCACCACCGCTGATGAAGAGGCCAGTACAGGCCAGCTTTCTTCTCCTACTGGGACCAGGGTCCACAGGCCTTCATGTTGCTACGTTTCTGGAAAACTCCTTCTTGCCTCTCGAAGCTGTGTCTTCTCTTCAAAATAAACTGTACAGTGACTACTTCAATGGAGGTTGTTAGAATGAATGTGAGAGCCACAGTGGCCTGTGGTGCCATGGCATCCCTGTCATTTGCAATTTAGATGACGTGGCAAAAACAGATAGCAGATTTGTCATCTCAATTGGTGGGGAAAGGTGGCCAAATACAGCCCCAGCAAAAGGGGCCCTTTTCATTTACTCAGATTTCTAATGAGACTATAAATATTATTAAAATGACAAGGCGAGAAATAAAGAACTTTGGGCCAGAGAAGTGAGGTTGCAGTGCAGGCCCAGGGGACCAGCCGTCACCCCCTCACGGCTTTCCCGTCCATCCCCCTCTGTCTGTCCCCCAGGCCACACTTCACACCCTGAGGAACACCCTGGACGGTTTCTCCATCCAAACAGCGATGGTGAGGACAACCACGCCGTCACAACAACCTAGTGTAAGTGCTGAAAACTGGCCTGAAATGCTTCACGGGGGCTGTGCCCACAGACGCCTGCTCCCAAACAGGGAGCTGCGATCACGGCTGTCATGCAGGTTGGGGACTGGAGGCTGAGAGGACACCAGCTTGCCAGGGCTGACTCGGAGCAGGGCAGACAGGGTCTCAGTGCGTGAGCAGCTGGGCCGCAGGCGGCTTGTGCAGTCGGAGGGCAGGTTTCCGTGGCTCCGCAGGATGAAGACTCCAGTGACAGGAGGAGAAAGGAGGTGACAGGAAGAACTCGGGCGCCAGGCTGTCAGGGGTCCTTTTCCACCAGGAGTGTCCCTGGGCGGCCCCTCCCCCACACCCACCGCACACCTCAGTGCAGCTGAGCTGCCCGTTCCTGGGGCAGGAATTCCATTCATGACACAGACAGTTTCTTCATCTCAAATGAGAGAGAGACAGAGAAGAATCCCTCCAAACTAACGAACCCAGCCTCCCTGGGGTGGCCTATCCTGTGCACCAGGGAGCCATCCCGGTGCTTGCAGTCGGGCCATTCATGAATGAAAACCTGCTCACGTTTAGGAGACTGTCTCATGCACAGAACGCCTTCATCGCCGGCCAGGGCTCATGCCCCCTGATCTTCCTCCATCCTGAACACCTCTCCTTGTCACCTGCTCTGAGCTGCGTCCCGGCTCACCTGTCCCAGGAGCGGGAGCAGCCAGAACAGACGCAGGTGCTGCTCTCGGCTGGTGCACTTAGGCCTCGCTTCAGGGACATGATGCATCTTCAGTTGCACCTGCTCTTGCAGCTAAAGCAGGTCCCCACAGACACTCAGTGCAGGTGGCTTCTGAGGTTGGCTTTCCCCATCCGTGTGACCGTGACCGTAACTGCCATGTCCCCATATGTGCCCTCTCATAGCTTCCCGGTGGGTGATTCTCAGAGAACCTCCCCCTCCACCCTGAGCAGCTGCCGCGTCCTCAGCTGCTGTGGTCGCTGGCCACACTGGGCCCACAGACCAGCCTCGGCCCCGTCCCCCTGCTGCAGCTCTTCAAAGGAAAATCCGAACATAAATGTGATTTCTCACAGCTTCGTGGGATGTGCCGATTTGATCAGCATGCCTTCTGGACTGAAACAAAGTTATTCATCGAACGTGCTGCATATTGCTCTAAGGAGAACAGGGGTCTGAGAGCTCACTGGTAACAACTCACGAAATTTCCTACCTGGTTCCAATTAATCAACTGCTTCCCATTTCACATAGTGACACAGCCATCTGTCCCTTGTCCTTACCCACAGGACATTATGGAAAGTTGTGTTATTGCCTTGCAGAAAATCAGGTCCGGCACATGTAGAGAATTCCCTGGTAGTCTCCACAGCGAGGAGAGGAGGGATATAGATGAAGAAGGGAGACATGAAGGAAGGAGGGGGGAGGGAAACGGTGGGGGAAAGGAGGCAGGATCCCAAACATGTTTTAAAAATGATTTCACTGTCTCCATTTTCCTTTCCACAGCATCTTGGGATGCGGCCAGAGAGCAGACAGACAGAACAGTTAGCGCAGAAGAGAACCAGGACACCTGCCATCAGAGACGGCCCCCCAGGGGAGGACGGACTCCGCTTCCCAGTCCACACCCGTGGTCAGAGCCACAGGGACAGGACACGGCTCAGGAGAGGGGGCTTCGTGTCAAAGATGTGGCCACTTCACCAGGGCAGCGACTCGGAATCCAGGGTGGTCGTACTTAAGGACTTACTCAGGAAAGCCAGTGGGCATGCTTTTAGTTTCTATTTCAGTTCTCTTCCCTCTACTTAGAAGCAGGAAAGTCCAACTCATTGTTACCCTGCTGCTTTTTGGACATTTTTCGTTTGGCAGAAGGAATTTCTTTCCCTCCCTGGCGTGTTGGATCCACCCAGAATCCCGGTGAATCCCAACCTGCCTCCCCAGTGGGGGGCCGGTGTCGGCGACTCTCCGCAGGACGCTGTCCCTGCAGAATCAAGGGCGAATCTCTGCCAGTTCTAGCTCAAAGTGAGACACGGGGTCCAATCCAATGTCTGTTTTGTGAGAGTTGGGGCTGCGTCATTCAACGAAAAATTTTAGATTTCTCCAACAGGCCAATGCCGTGAAAATTAAGGGATCACCAGACACAGACTTTTTGCTTGAGGTGCTTAGAGTCTAGTGGAAAATAGAAGATCTGTGTTCAAGGAACTGTTTCCAGAAGCCTACCAGGGAAATGACAGACTGTGTCAGTGGGATCCGGTGTCAGTCCTCCCTGGCTGTCACAGAGCCATGCCCGTGTGGGAAGAGGCTGTGGGACCTCCCGAGGCAGCTGGACCTGACTCCTTCCTGTGTCCTGGAAGGAGGGCTGGCTGCTCAGCTGAAAGTCCCTCCTCCCTGGGATGGTTCTGGTTCGTTCTCTGCTGGGAAGGAATTTTGCCTTGAGGGCGAGGGCTCTGGGCAGCCTGCTGGAGGTGCCCTGGCACTGAGGCGGCCCGGCCAATGGCCCAGCAGCCCAGGGAGACGCAAGTTAAATCCACGGAGGGTGCTCCCCACACAGCCCCGAGGATGGCTGCGGTGAGAATGACAGCACCTCAGCCCGCCCCAGCTGGGGGAACCGGAGTGGCTGGTGCCCTGCAGGAGAGGCTGCCACATGGTACGGCCCCCTGGGAAACGGTGGAACAGTTTCTCGAAAACAAACCCTACAGTTCGCACGTGCCCTGGCATGCACACACAAGGACATTTCACCCAGAGAAAGGAGGACCGTCACTGACACGAAACCCTGTGCAGGACTCTGTGTGGTGCTCTCACCTGCCGCAGCCCCAGCCTGGAGCCCGCCCAGGAGCCCCCCCCCCAGTGGAACCCTCACACCAACTGTGCTACATGCAGGCCATGAGCACCGCCCAGCCATGCTGAGTCACGGCCTGTTCCCACCTCAACAGTGTGGACGCAACTCAAGGGGGCCCAGTGGAAAAAGCCGACCAAAAAAGGCCCCGGCCTGTGTGACCCCATTGCTGTGGGCTGTGTGACAGGGCAAAATCACAGACAGAGAGGACAGGTGAGGGGTGGCCGCAGATGAGAGAGGTGCAAGGGTGGGAGGCAGGTGTGTGGCAGTAGGAAGTGAACCAAGGATCCTGTGGGGGTGGCAATGACTCCACCGAGTAGATCCCCTGGCGGTGGGTGGTCTGCGTTTGGGAGGGGTGGCACTGCTGGGGAAAAAGGGCAAAGGGTGGGTGGAGTCCGGTTCTCTCCTTTACAACTGCGAGCCATCTACAGAAGCCTCAAAATTGAACGATGAACTCAAAATGAGAAAGACGGAGGCAACATCAGAGAAACGGTCCCTCTGAGGGCCAGGTCTGGCACCAGCCTTTGACCTTGGGTGTCACAATGGCCACCGTCAAGACAACTGCGGAACCCTCGGGCTTCTCTGAGTTCTTGACAGTTTTCTGCCAAGGGCTGAAGACACACTTCACTTCTCGGCTGAGAACTGAAGACAAAAGGATGTTCAAGTTCATCAAAAAGCGATTCAAGCGTTTTGGTGATTACTCGAGGCTGTCCAGCAATAGGTAGTCTTTGAATATACTGCTTCCTAACTCTCATCTGTATCGGATTTTCTGCCATGCCACTCAGTCCCCTTATACCCCTCCCCCCAGCAGTCAACACAACGTTGTCCATGCCCATGAGGCCTTTTTCCTCTTTCCTCAGTCTCTTCACGGCCTAACCTCCCCCCGACTAGCTGCCATCCGGTTCCCTACCTAGGAGACAGTCCCCCTTTTCCTGGTCAGTTCAGTCAGTTCATTAGAGCCCACATAGGAGTGAAATCATACGGCATTTGTCTTTCTCTGACTGGCTCATTTCACTTACTATAATGTTCTCCAGCTCCACCCACACTGTCCAACAGGGGAAATTGTCTGCATGTTCACAGGCCGGTAGACGCTACTCCTGGTCATGGAAGCAGACGCAGAGTCCCCGGAGACGCTCTCTTAGGTTTCTTCAGACCCACATGGGCTAACTCTTCACTCGATCACTGGGTTTGCAAAGAGCTGTTTTATCCACTGCTGCTGAAAAGGAGACAGCAGGCCTTAGACCTCAGGGAGGGGTGCTCTTTGCTCTGTGGTTAGAATTTCTATACCGCTGTGGCAGTGCCTCGGCCGCATCCGGACATTTCCTGTTCTGTTCAGAGCTGCCTCACCCCTGCTGACCCCCATCCTGCCGGCGCCTCCTCACAGCTCCACCGATAACCAAGCACTGTCCTGGGTTGAGGGACTCGGTGATGTTCCCAGTGGCACATGCTGATCTTTGAACATTTCTGCCCAGATGTGACTGTTGATTTAGCTAAGATTCGGGCCAACTTTCCAGAATCCTCAGGCATCTCGATTTGTCCACTAACATGAAACCAAATGGCCATCACTTCTACACAAATCTCTCTTGTATTTCATTTTGACTATGTGAGGCAACGGCCTGCCCTGTTTTGTTTGGGTTGTGCCTTCCTGTAATGCTCTGAACTTTGGCCTCCTGGGCCTCCCTTCCCAGCAGCTCTGAGGAGGCTGGTGGTGCAGATTTCTCCTTTCCAGCCTCTCCTAGTGGGTGGGCCCAGAGCATGACCTAGAAACAGTGGCCTCCTCTTGTCTCTCAACAGCTATCTGTAACTCGGTGACTCAAGCATTGGGGCCCCAAAGCTCTGGGTAGGGGGCAGAGACTCATTTTTAGTTTTCTGCAAATCTCGATCTTTAGTATTAAAGCCTAGAGTACCACGGATCAGTGACGGCACCTTCTGTGGGTGGCATTTGCTGTGTTGCAGGAGAAGCCCTTCTCCAGAGCTGGACACCGGCCTCCATAACTCTTTCTCACCAGAGAGCAACAGCTGCAGCCTCAACTGCAGCCTTCAGTGCCTCCCACCACCTGAGGTGCCCAGCTGCAGCCTCGACTGCAGCCTGCAGGGCCTTCCACCAGTCAAAGACCCCAGTGACAGCCTGGACTGCAGCCTACAGGGTGTCCCACCAGTTGAAGACCCCAGCTACCGCCTCAACTGCAGCCTGCATGACCTTCCACCATTCGAAGACCCCAGCTGCAGCCTCGACTGCAGCCTGCATGACCTTCCACCATTCGAAGACCGCAGCTGCAGCCCCGACTGCAGCCTGCAGGGCCTTCCACTAGTCGAAGACCCCAGCTGCAGCCCCGACTGCAGCCTGCATGACCTTCCACTAGTCGAAGACCCCAGTTGCAGCCTCGACTGCAGCCTGCAGTGCCTCCCACCACCTGTGGTGCCCAGTTGCAGCCTTGACTGCAGCCTGCAGGGACTTCCACCACCTGAGGTCCCAAGTTGCAGCCCTGACTGCAGACTGCAGGCGCTCCCACCAGTTGAGGACCCCAGCTGCAGCCAGGACTGTAGTCTACAGGGCCTCCCACCACCCGAGGTCCCCAGTGACAGCCTGGACTACAGCCTGCAGGGTGTTCCACCACCTGAGGTCCCAAATTGCAGCCCCGACTGCAGCCTGCATGACCTTCCACCAGTCGAAGACCCCAGTTGCAGCCCCGACTGCAGCCCGCATGACCTACCACCAGTTGAAGACCCCAGTTGCAGCCTCGACTGTAGCCTACAGGGCCTCCCACCACCTGAGACCTCCAGTTTCACCCTTGACTGCAGTCTACAGGGCCTCCCACCATGTGAGGTCCCAAGTTACAACCTCAGCTGCAGCCTACAGGGCCTCCCACCACCCGAGGTCCCCAGTGACAGCCACAATTCTAGCCTGCAGGACCTCCCAGCCACTGAGGTCCCCAGCTGCAGCCTGGACTGCTGCCAACAAGGCCCCACACCCCCGGAGATCCACACCAGCAGCCTGCACTTCAGCTTCCAGAGCCCCTCACCACCCACTCGCACCCTGCTGCTCCACAGCCCTGTGGTCATCGGGAAGGGCTGGAGGAGGAAGAGGCGCCACTTCTTCCTCTTCAGAGATTTGCTGTTGATCTCCAATGCAAAGTAGGTCTACATCCCACTGTCCTGGTGAGCACAGACCTGCATGTTCAGCGACCCTCAGTGTAAAACAGCATTGCTTTCCTGGCCCCATGGCAGTGTCCCCCAATCCATGGAGTCAGGAATTGTGCTTCTTGGCCCCATGGCAGTGTCCCCCAATCCATGGAGTCAGGAATTGTGCTTCTTCCATCTCGCTGTACCTCTGGCGTGTGCACACACAGTTCTGAGGAGCAGGCTCTTGCACAGCGGGAGCTCACGCTGCCTGGGCACCGACACAGGGCCAGTGACTGTGGAAGCCACAGTCCAGCGCCATGTTCAAGTTGTGAATTAACCAACAGATACTCTGGTCTTCTAGTCAGAGGTCAGGCAGATTAGGTAGAAATGGCCAGAGAGCAGTTTCCCTGCTGACAAAGTGGATCACTTCCTCAGTCCCCAGAGAGAACTGGGAAGGATGGCCACACTCACCTAGAATCCCTGCTGGCCACTGGTCTGCTTTGGATGGATGACTCGGTGACGGGTTGCACACGGGGTCCACTGGCAGACTGACCATCTGGGGCTCAGCCAGAATCTAAGGGGAACTGGGATGAGCTACATCTTCAGTAAAGAAATGTAATATAATCTATGAATTAAGACCAGGAAACTTTTTTGCAGGTTAAGGGTAAAAATGGATTTGAAATCTGTCTAATCCAACCTTTTTTTTGTTAGTCTCTCTTAAGAAAGGTTCTACAAATATTTTAGAAATCATGTATCTTGGTTCAGCCCCTCAAATACTTTCAGATATATAAGGAATGTGAGCAAATAATAAAAAGAAAACTAACATACAATATAAGAAATATAATGTATACACAGATATGAAATTGATTAATCGTCCTAAAAAGGTCTAAAATGTACAGGACTGTGGAACCCAACACTGATGTTCACAACGATGGTGTTTGCCGCCTTCTGTGCAGTGTGCTCAGGCCTCGCTGGCCAGGCCTCCCCCAGGTCCTCCCGGCTGTGCTGGGCACGGAGTGGGCAGGGGGAGGAGGCAGGCGGCCCTGGAGAGTGAGGGCCGGGACCTTACTGTGAGCCCAGCTGCACCCCTAATATTTGAGAAACTAGCTAACCAAGGTCTTGTCCCTTTCTCTCTCTAGTTACAGGAAGATTTTTAAAATCAAACTGAAACTTCCACTAAGCACCATGCGGATCACTGACAACACTACAGGAAAGGCCACAGGTGCCAAGAGGTCCCTGCTCTTGTGCTGGCCCTCGGGGAGCGTGCTGGCCACCTTTCGGTAAGACCCACAGGTGCTCCTGCACTTACATGCCCGTCAGAGGGAAGCCGTTTCATCTGATGGTGTGTGAAGCCAGGGACTCACTCACTTTGTGAGCACCCCTAATGACATCGGTCTACCTTGTGCTTCCCCCAAAAGTTTCCTGGTTGAAAAAATATGCCTGATGGGAACAGGGTGGCCCCTTTGGGGTGATTTCCTTGGTTTGGATCAATGGTTTTCACATGTTCTCCACCAGCCACGTAGTCACGTGGGGGAGAGGATGAGGATGTAGAACCACTGGGAGATGTGACCAGCCCTCTCTCAGCTCCGGGCCCTGAGGCTCAGAGCAGTGCAGAGGCCTCCCAGCTGGCGGACCACCACCACCTGCACCTCCTCGTGCTCCAAGTGTTTCCCTCCCCAGAAGCAACTTGTCTCGCACTTCACAATCTACGTCCCCTCAGTGTGCCACTGCCCGAGAAGGACGGTGTCCATGGACAGTCCTTTGGAGGAGGGACAATTACACAGGCGTCCACACTGCTACCCACTGGCTGCACCATCTTCCTCTGGAGTCACAGCTGCCATGGTAGGTTTTGTAGTTTTCATCACTTAAACTTTTCTCCTCTTTTTCATCTGCAGATCAGAAGATCTGAAGATGAAATGGGCCTCTTTCCTTGAAAGGTAAGTTCTTTGCCAGTTTATGCAGTTTAAATCCTGAAGCCCTAGTGAAAGAGCACAAATGTCTGCCAAGCTGAGCCCCCAGACCACCATCCCTCTTCTCCAGAGAAACCCATAGATCGTTCTGTGCCCAAGGACTGTCCACTTCCACAGACTCTGGCTGCTCCTGCACGACATGTGCTCAGACTGCCAAGCATGGTCCCTTATTCCTGAGGAAGTTCTGGTTTCTTTGTCATCTCTATGCAGGGGGAGCCGAAGATATTGCCAACACACACACTTCATTTCCCCCAGGGCAGGTTCCACCACTAACGGATTCCCAAAGCAACTGCGCCCTCCCACCCGTGATCCCTGGAGTGCAGGGCTCCCCGTGTAGACAGGAGGCTCTCAGGACTGGACGTGCTGCCCAGCTCCCACGTGACTAGGGCAACCTGTTCTTTGGGGGTCATTTCTTATTTTCCTGACATAGTTTTGCACATTGAATTCCCACCCATGTTTGAATTGCTGAGTTAATTTATGTGCCATCAAAAGAACTGCAAAGTATGTCAAAAATATAAGCAACGTAGATTAATGTAAAAATGACCAAAGACCTAATCTATTCTACTCTGTTTGGGTTCGTATTGGATTGGATTAGATACATCGACGAAGCAGGAGAGAACAATGCTTCCCTCAGCCAAGAAAACTGTGAACCTGTAAGTTATGTTAGGACCCAACCTCAAACCCAAGTTCCAGATTTTGGCAGAGTGAGGGAGTGAAGTGGGAAATGGGGGGGGGGAGAGGGAGAGAGAAGCAGAGAAGGCAGCAATAGAGAGCACACTGTAAAGGACCACGGGAAAAATGTGTGTTCCTGGATACATGTGGGACCTGGTATGGACACAAGTGAATCCTGGGCAATAGGAGCCACAGGGTCCCTGACAGCCACAGGGTCCCTGGGAGCCACAGCAAGGCACTGAAGGAACGTTGCACGTGCAGCATCGACCACGTTCCCCTGGGTCTTCCTAACAGTGAAGAGAGTGGTTTGTGCTGCAGTGATTTCTCTAAGCGGATACTACCCTCTGGTCCCAAACACGTTTTCCTTTGTCACTGCAGTGGTGTGGGTGGTTTCCACAGGATAGAGCTCTTTCTCCTAATGCCACTTAAAAAAAAAAACTATGTTGTGACCAGATAAGTTAGAGAGTGCTTATGAGTATCTCATAAAATACTTTTTTACTTTACAAAAGACTTCAGGGAAAGTTTTGAAGTGCTATTGATGGGGTTTTCAATTCCAAGAAGTTAGCAGAAGCGTGCTGGGCCCTGTGAAGAGCACTGAACAGCCTGCAGTGCTCTCACCTCTGTGATAAACCCTGGCAGGTTAGACAGGACTCAGGTGGCTCCTGTGCACGGGGACCACGGAGATGCAGGCCAGGTGGGCACCAGCAGGCGGGTGCTGCCCTCTGGAAGGCCCACCAGTGAAGCTGCCTTTGCACTCAGGAGGGTGGCCCACGGCAGACTCTTGCCAATTTCCCTGCTACAAGTGCAGACTGAAGAGGGGTGGTCTTATGGGGATACAGATCTAGACACCGAGTTTTCCTAAAGTTGACTGACCATGGTGGGATCACGCTGTGCAACCTTGGCCTTGAAAATGCCACGTTAGCTTATCTAGAGCTGGGCCACAACCAGGAAGGAACAGACCACCAGGACCATCCTGAGTGTGCAGGGGTGCAGTCTGGGAACTGAGGGCCCACACTCATGGCTTGGCATCTTCCCCTGGGATCGTGTTCTGGCACCTGCGCACTCAGCCTCAGCAGTGGGTCCACAGCACGGGGTGCAGGCAGAGGGCGGGATACATGGCCTGAGACCAGGCGCTTGGTCACATCCAGCGTGGGTGGCCTGCACTCACCCAGGCTCCCAAGTGCACCAAGCTGGATGCCTGCTCCCTCCAATCCACTGGGACCAGTGCCTAGAAATAGTGAGGGCCCCCAGCCCCCATGGGTGCACACCCTGCATGGGCAGGAGGGAGGGGACTGGCACGTTGTCCATGTGCTTCACTGCCCTGCCCCCAGTCCTCAACACACAGCCGCCACCAAGAGCAGCTCAGTGAGTTCCAGGAGGAGGGACCCGTCCCTGGGTTATACTGCTGAGAGTTGCCACAGGCTTTCCTCACTGAGCTGCTGTTAACAGAATCTTGGGCAATTTAGGGAGACAGGTGGGAGCAAGGTGAGCCTATGAAGCTAGCAAGGCCACGGGCGAATTTTCCGTCAGTCTTGGGCTAAAAAGTTAAAGCTCCATAAATGCCAGAGGCCCGGCTCTATGGTATTAAGCCATGTTTTCTAGCCCTTTGGGTGACCAAGTTTCTATCCTGCAGCAGGAAGCTTGCCTCTGTTTATCTCTAGTGTGATTACCCACAGGCTCACAGCTACCATCTACCTGGATTTTGATTAACTTTCTACTGGGGAAGAATATAGCTATGTGTTCCCCTCAAGGGGTGGCCAGAAGTGGCATATCCTTACCCCCTGGGGACTGGGAAAGAAACCCCATACCTAATGCTCTCAAGTCCACAAGTTGAACTTCATTCAGTGAAACAAAAGGAAGAGTGAAGTGATTTTGAGGGTCATGTCCTCCCCAGAAGCACCCACACCTCAAGCCAGAGGCCTGGTCCTGTCTTCACAGAACAGGTCATGTGAGGTGTCTGTGTGACAGAACCTCTCCTCCTAGCAAGGAAGAGCCCTGGGTCTAACATTCACAGGCACAATGGGGACCAGAATTTCTTTCCAGAAACTGATGGGATTTGGCATGATTCATCACTAGGACTAGTCGGTCTGGACCAGCTTGTCACTCGTACACAGGGAGGAAAGCCTGATGGTGAAGGGCTCCCCTTCATTCCCACCACACCCCAGACTCTGACTTTGGGCATCTGAGCTTCGGTGGAGCCCCAGCCCCCGTCTGTTGATGTGCCCGTCAGTGTGGAGCTGGGCCCCTGGTCACTGGGGGTCTCGGCTGGAGGGGAGGTGGGGACTGTAACCGAACTCACCAATGAAGTGTTTTCTCTGAGGCCCCTCCACACAGTTCCCACAGCAATGTTGTCATGTTCAGGAGGACTTCCTGTCGAAGTACTAAGGGAACTACACGGTCACGGGTGCCCGTGTCATGGAGGAAGGGAAGGAGGAGGAGAACATCCCTGCCTCCCACAGCTGAGAAGGCAGGGACGTTCTCCGGGCTCACGCTTCCAAGCACAGCCCACACCCTGGAGGAAATTATCAGCTGAGAGTCCAGAGCCCTGCCCCTGAAATGATGGCCAGTCCCACAGTTCACTCCATCACACCCAGCGAGGCCAATGTAAGCACAGAGGCTCTTGGGGAAGTCCTGTTTCTCCTCATCTAGTTAATGTGCCGTCCCTGACGGTCTTGTACCTTCTGCACTGAGGAGCCTGATGGGAGAGGAAATCCACTGGTGCAAGAGACACGGTGGAGGGCCACCCTGCCAGTGGTCTGCTTTTTGCTCTGTCTGCCCTTCACTTACGGACCCAGAGAGGTTCTTATGTGGCCAGGAACCGAATTCAGTGAGACTCCTTGTAGGCCTTCATGCCTGGAGCTCTGCCAGTCTCTCAGATCAGAAGCAGTGCTCAGGCCTGACCATGACCTGGCCTGCTCACCTTGCTACCTTAGACATAAAGGGAGCCTCTTCCCTTTAATTGTGCTTTCATTGGATCAGTAAACACTGGTGTACTTTATCTGAGCACATGCTAGAATGTTGCAGAGTTTAAAAATGTACTTAGGTTTAATTAGATACTTTAATTAGTGCCACCCCCATTCCAAAAAAAATACACAACAGGTGCCTCAGGAAATACACTGTTTTGCCTTCTCACTGGCCTTTGCACATGGACACAGAGGAAGACTGCTCCCATCTTGCTAGGCAAGAGGACCAGTCTGCAACAAGTGTGTGTTCTGTCCTTAGGATTCTGGGGCAGCTGCCTGGAGCACATCCTGCCCTCCTTCACCACCTCTTTGGGCTTCAGCACAGCGTCCAGCCACAGGGCTCCCCCACCTGCACCACAGCCCACAGCCTGGCCTTGTGTGGAGCCCTTGGATTGCTCTGTCTGCCCAAGGCCCGTGGTACTTATGGACCAATGGGACTTACTAGAAGGTAAGGGGATCTATGGGTTGGATGCCCTGGCGGCAGTGTCCCCTCTTGGAGCCCCAATGGGTGGTATGCACCTGGAAGGACCAGTGTTCTGAAGTGCATACTTTAGCCCCTGGTCTCTGTAGCAGCAGAGTGATTTAGCCTCCCCAAGGGCTCTGGGAAGGTGTCTGGTTTAGGGGCAGAGGGACAGCCCTTGAGTTCCTTCTCCATTCCCATCCAAAACACCATGCAGCAGGCGACCCGACAACATGGAGATAACGTTGGTGGGGCACCACAGAGAACCAGCAGGGCTGGGCATGCTGTTCACTACTCACATTGCAGGGAGTGCACCCATGGGGGCGGGTCCTGAGACAGACCCCACCCCCTCCAGCCTGGTGTACTTGCCGAGTTAGGGAGGGAGCAGTGGCAGCCAGGAGGGAGCCCTGGTGGCACCTGAAAGTGCTGCAGGGTTGTGATAAGCACGGTGGCCTTGGGAAGGCTGGAACTGCAGGCACAGGCTGCTTCCTTGCTCCTTGTGGCTGCTGGACAGGGAGCCACCTGTTCTCTGAGGTCAAGGGGCCATGCCTAGAGCTCCCCCACCCCCTTCACAAAGAATTTCCATATACCCAACAACTGTTCCATGTCATCTTGTAACCTTTTAAATTCACCTTACAAAGTGTCAATCATGCCATAATATCTTTCAGGGCACAGGTCCATGAAGACAGATCCTTCTGGTCTTTGAATTTGCAGAGGATGATGAGAAGGCTCACTCAGACCAGAGAAACTGAGACCCTCTAATTCCCCCCGGTTTCACTGCATGTGTTTTATGTTCCCAAAGTCTCCCTCTCCCTCCTTTTCTCCTCTAAGGGGGTGACTTGCAAAGGTTTGCTACAGAAGAGATATATTGATATTTCCTATTCCATGTACAGAGTATAGAATGGAAAATAAAAACTACTTTGAAAAGAGAACAAAACGTTTAGTGTAACCTCTTAATGGCTTTAACATCCAATAACCTAAAATCTGTATGACTGTTTACAGCTGGTTATAATCATTGAAATTATTTCCCTTCACTGATTTCTGTACATTGAACAATTACACACACACACACACACACATTATGAGGGAAACCCAGCCATTTCCAACTGTATGCTGATCACACTAGTGAATCACTCCATTCTCCCGCACTCCAATGCTTTGAGCTCTAACATGGTAAGAATTTCAACACGAACCAGGTTCTTAATGCAGACTCAGGCTACCATGTCTGTCTGGTGATGTAGCATCGGGCTGAGAAGTTAACCTAGAACACAATTACATTCAACATGCAAGCACATCAACATTCACTTAAAGAAGCAAGAAATGCAATACTGCTGGAATCATTTTTACCTTTAAAATGTCAGTAATATTGTAGTCATATAGAAGTACTTTTTAAGAGTAAAGACTTTTTTTACTCTAATTGATTACACACCAATTAATAAAGCATACTGAATCAAACCCAACTTTGTCCCACGACGTGGACACGGAACCACATCTCCTGCAGACCTCTAGCTGTCAGCCCGCGGGACCATCTCCAGGAGTTCCTGGGCTCCACTGAGCAGGGCAATCAATGCAGATGGGGGTGAGGGCACGGGTGTTGTCGTGGGGGGCGGGGAGGTGCTGGGGGCGGCGCTGAGGTTGGAGCTGCGGCCCTCCAGGCTGGGTGATCCGAATGTCCTTCAGTGCACTGGGGCCACGGGCGGACAGAGATGAGGGCGTCCCCCTCACGGGGAAGCTGAATCCTGGGACAGGGACCCTACAGAGTCCACTCCCCAAGGTGAGGGTTCCCCCGGGGGCCTTCAGTGGAACAAAAGCCAGCGGAGCTCCACGGGGCAGAGAAGAAAGACCACCAGATGCATGTTGCTCATTCGGGCAGCGCGCAGGGGGAGCCCAGGCTTGGCGGCCCCCTGGCTGGCGTTGCCGGGCTCTGGGCTCTGGGAAGGGGGAGCTGGATCGCTCCCCTCGGCCCAGCGGATAGGAGTCGGCTTGGCCGCCCTGCGCCACTGTCCAGGACGCACGTGGTGGCGCTGGTCCTGACACCCTCAAACCGCCGCTGGTCCGCCCCCAAGCCCCCGTCCCGGCGCGACCAGGCAGTGGGTGGCCGCACTGTCCCGGGGTCGCAGCCTTGGCCCGCACCTGCCAGATAGGTCAGGCCTTACCACCGCCTTCCCAGAGCGCGGAGGGCACCTCTCTGCCCGCCCGCCCATGGCCTCTGTTGCACAGTGAGGGAGCCTCCTGCACCCCCGCCCCCCCACTGAGCCTCTGAAGCGTCCCACCTCCTCCTGTAGATTATTTAGAAAAGCCTAAATGCCGGCTATCTACTTAACAGTTTCTTGCAATAGTTTTGTTTTCAGTTTTACTTTGTAGGAATAGAGTAGAGGTCCCTTGGGAACCAGGCCCAACAGTAGGAGGTGAACTTGAAAGTAATGCTCCCCCTCCATTGGAGCATTACCTTCAAAAATTGTCTTCCACGACACCGGTCCCTGGGGCCACCAAGGTTGGGGACCGCTGCCATTGACAACCTGGAGTTTAGCTGTTAACCACACCACTGTGTGCTTCTGTGTAGCTGCATGGCTAACCCTTGCCAAGGTCAAGGTCATCTGTGCATCTTCTCCCTTAGAAACAAAAAACAGTAATAATGCTACTTAAATAATGCCCCCTTTATCTGCAAAGCATTTTACTCACAGTAGAGAATTAATTTTCCAACACCCCACGAGAGGCAAGTGCTACCATTTCCACTATGTAAGTAAGGAAACCAAGGAGGTGAACTTCCGGCCCCGGGAGGGCTACAGATGAGAATGAGGACTCAGGCTCCCCAGGCTCCCGCTGCCCTGCTCAACTGAAGCCTCCTGTACACGTACAACTATTCGCAGCTTGTCCCCTAGTTCACACAGATGGTCAGCAAACACGTGCCAACCTCACCTCAGAGATCTGATAGGAGAACTGTCTCATTTGACCAGAGTGACAGCAGAAAGCAGTGTCCTTGACACAGTCCCCTTCACAGTCCGCTCCTCCTTCCACAGTACACGTTCGACTCCTTCCAGACATCCAGAACAGACGGGTGCCACTTCTTAGGGGTAATGGAGGGTTTTAAAAGTGCAAGTGACTCATGTAAACAATAAAAGAAGAAAAACAGTACAATCCAAAGAGGCGATTTAAGATGTTAAGGGTCCCAGCCTGGCGGCCCACTTGGCTGGAGCGCCATGCCCCACACACAGGGGTTGCCGGTTCCTTCCCAGGTCAGGGCACATTCAAGAATCAACCAATGAGTGAACAAGGAAGTGCAACAGCAAATGGATGTCTTTCTTCCTCTCCTTCTCTCTCACCTCTTTCCTTCTTCAAATCAAAAAATTAAATATCTCAAAATCAAGTTATAATTGATATAATCTTTATTAAGAGCATTTTGGCCATAAACCCATGAGGGTTCAAGAGGAAACCAGGCAAAAAATAATAGGAGGTTCTATGTGGAAGTTTATTAGTAAACTGTCAATAAACCTGTTCTAATGCTGTGAAAATTGTAAGTCTTGATCCCACCCATCGTTTTCACCATTATCATCGCCATCATCATTGTCACCATCACCATCTTCATCATCACCACCATCACCACCACCAGCATCCCATCATCATCTTCTTCATCATCAGCCTCATCTCCCTTCTTTTCTGGCTGTTTCTGAGCAGCCTCCCCAGTTGACTCTGTCCCCTCATCCCTGTCCCTCCACCACGGGCATTCCCAGGGTGCTCTCGTTGGCCTCCTGTGCTGCTGATGTTGCTCTTCCATCTGCGCACTTCATTCAAACCCATGGTTTCAGGTTCAGGAGACACACGGCCGCTTCTGACTTCCTGATCCCACACCTCATGTATCAGCCACTTCTGGATAGCAGAGCTGAACTGTCCTCCAGGCAGTACAGATTCAGCAGGTCACAACAAATCCGTAATTTTTCTTCTAACTCGTTCTTCCTCTGCCCCTGAACACCATTCCCACTCGTTCACATGCTTAAACCAAGAACATAGGAGTAACCTTTGCAACACCCTCCTCACTTCCTCGTTATGGCCAGACTGTGTCCAACACCTGTGTAGCTACTACTCGATAGCACTTTCATTTGTTCCTGAACTTCCCTCCCAGTTCAGGCTTCCCCTGGCTCTCTATGGCTGGAGGCTTCTACCCACCCGTGCGCTGGCTCAGCCTTGCTTCATCTGCAGCAAATGCTGATCTGAATGTTCTTCATCACTCCCTTGATTAAAAGAACTTTGATGGCACTCTCTGATTTTGAGGATAATAATCCAAATCCTTTCATTGTAAAGTAAAATCTATTATCTTCTAATCCACTACTCCTCAGTCACAGGGTACTTCTTGCAGTTGCTGACTGTGGCATTTGTGTCCCCTCTCCAAGCCTTCCGTCCCCTCGTCCCTCTCTCCTGGCCAGGCTTTGCACCCTTTCATCTGGCTCATGCGTCCTTGGCCTAGAGAACCCCCTCTGGGGAGTCTCTAGTCTCACAGAAGTCCATTCGCTCCAAAGATACTTTGAATGTAGCAAACCCTGTGCTGCACTGCAGATGTCAATACTCTGTCCCCTTTCCACTGGACTAAACTCCGTCAGGACCAGAACTACTGTCTTCTTCCTTCTCCCTCTGCCTCAGGCTGGGCTCCTGGCTGGCCTTGGGGACCTGGGACATCCCCTCAGACAACCTCTTCTGCAAGCAGGTTCGCACTTTGGCTTTCTCCAGCCAGATATACCTGTTGCTCCTCAGCTACCTCATCCAAAAACTGTTGCTGAGCTCGCCTGTGCTGACTGAGGCCTGCAGTGACCACCACTTTAGAGGGGAAACCTCTCCCAGCAGGCCCGCCTTCCCACACCAGCCTCCAGGAAATGTCCTAACTCACCATTAGGATGCAGATTTCTGCCTCCACGTAAGCATTGTTCTCTTTTGAATCCCTAGTGTACAGAACACAGGACACCCTCAACAAATATTTAATAAACAAATGAGTAGGAGGCATGATAAATGAATTTTTTTTTACAGGCAGCCTAGCACCAAACACATCCGTATAGATATTCAGTGAATGTTCATAGAGTTAATGATAAACTCTTCATTAACTTAATCGAATTAAACATCAACAATTAAAAATTAAAGAATCAAGTCCTTGTGAACATTAGAAAAAAATTCTGGCACAATAGTAAGACTGAAAAATAGTCAACTTTGGGAATTCAACTATATTTCAGACAGATCATCTGATAATTCAATTGATTACACCTTACGTTTCGCATGAAAGAGCTCCAGCTGTTTTCCACTCTTCCTCCAATCACCAGTTTAGAAAGACTCCTAGAATACTTTTGCCCGATGAGCCCTGAAAAGGATGCAACAGGAAGGATGGAGGCAATAGCGCATGGTGCATGTGCAATCCCCTGGGCAAATGGATCTGTCGGAGCAGAGTGATGTCTCCCTGCACGTGACCATGGTGCTGTGGTCCGGGGCTGCCCGATGAGCAAGGTGGGGTGGGGGGGCCCCGAGTGTGAGAGCAGGGAGCAACCACAAGCTGTCCTAGCCCTGGCTGTGCCTGCAGAATGACAATATGGCACTGGGTTGTGTCCACCAGGGCTCAGAAAGGCATCACTGCTCACACTGCACAGGGCGCCCCCAAGCTCCACGTTTGGGGAAAAAGTGTCCCCATGTGCAGGGGCCCAAGCAGTTTGCAAAGCCATGAAATGGACTGTCCTATGTGGAAGACTGTACCCCTGCTAGGTCCCCACTGAAGAGTCTTGTATGTGTCCTGTGGTGATAACTAGTGAACAGTAGAGTATGAAATGTGAGCACAATTTAAAATACAACTTCTAGTTAAATTTTGGCTCTAAGG